TCTTTGTCCCAACACCTCTTGTCAGCAGCTCAATGGACTTTAGGTTGACAGTAATGAGAACTCAGTATTGTTTTTAAATTTGATGCTTATGTTTCTCAGATTGGGGGGCAGGTGTACACACCGCACCATATCACCCTCCTGAATGGCCTTTCGGAGACCCTCATCAAAGTGTTGTCCACCCACCAGACAACTGGCCCCCCATTGGACCCAAGCACACCCCTCTGAGACCTCTGTGCTCCTGCATTGGTTGATTCATGTCCCAGTTCTTCCCTCCTCAGATTCACTTTGATGTTTAATCCCATCCTGACTGTGTCCTCCTTCAGTCGGTGGAGCCGCTCGGCCAGTCATGAATATCCAAAGGTCTACTTACTTGACAGGATTATCCTTCTTTTCAAAGCCACTGGGGACGATTCTTCAGCCACAAAAAAACACACTCAATGGATCTTCTGCTCACTCGCTTTGTTTCTCTCACTTTCCTTTACTCTCACTCTCTCTCATTCCCTTCTGTCTTTGTCCCTCTGGGCCTTTTACTAAACACATTGATCCATCCGATCGGGGAGTTCATCTGCTGCTGTTCAAAGATTATTGGACCGACACACAAACACACGCACAAGTATTGTTAAGTTGTTAAATAGCTCACGTTAAAAGAAATCCTGATGAATTTATAAATTGTATGGAGTCCCCGAAGCTCAATTTTTTGCCCTCATGAGTATCCTCACTTCTTATTGTAAGCATCACCTCACATATAGACTGAACACTTACATTTCTTCAGGTCTTCTTCATGGATCCATCATACAAAGCCCTAACCAACCAATTACAAGCAATGAAAACAAGATCATTCCCTACGGGAGTTGTCACTGTAAACCCCCTGATGACTGGTGCTTACCTATGATCAGTCAGGGTCAGATCTGGCTGATGTATTGAGAAGGTTTGGGTGCTGCACACTTCAAGGCTCCAAAACATCAAAATAAATCAATAACTGTTTAAAAAGACATCCCAGTCTTATGTTCCATGTTTCAATAAATCATGTTTAACTAATTTTAGCATGTATTCATACCTTCACAATTCTGCACAAAGCATCTTTGCATCATTGCTTTTGTGAATCTACACTAATCTTTGTAAATGAAAAAAAACAAAGAAAACACATGAACCTCAATGAATAAATATTCATCATGTTAGTTCCTGGTGTAGAGGACTGGGACATGGCACAGCCTGCAGAAACTCAGACGTCCCCCCTACCAAAGATATTACACCTAATAGAACCCCAAACTAACCTAGCCTAATGGATTTTAGTTTTAAGTGCAGGGCACAGATCTGATGCCTACTCTATCTCCAAATCTCTGACCGTGCAGCCACAGTGGCTTCTGATATCTCCGTTTGAACGGACACACGGCCTTCATCCTTTGAACTGTGCCAAAAGTATTTCCATACAAAGAAACTATGTTCACATGTTTTTGAACCATTGAAAATTTAGACGAGAATGCCAACATCAATTTTAAACCTTTACAATTAATCTGGACCCACAGTGAATAGCAGATTGACAAAACTCCTGGATAGAGATGGAAACATATAGCATCACTCTGCATTTTAGGACTATCTAAAAGGCACCTCTGAAGTTCAGAAACTAGCGTGTTATCTTTTTTGTTGGATTTGTACAATAACTGAAGAGCTACTGTTCATGCCTATCAGGAGTGTCACATTAAAACATTAAAGAAACATTTCACTTTACTTTTGACAGCAAGGTGACTTGAAACAAACTATAAAAATCAAAGTTCTTAAGTAATTGTGTTGTTGCACATTACTCTGTTTAGCCTTAGAGTTTATCTTCTTGATGGAGGCTGGAGGAGATGATGTTTGAATTAAGAGAGGAAGGGATGATCAGAATTTCCAAAGATTTGTGTTGCTTGTTTCATGACTGGCATGAATAAACTAAAGTGTAAAAACAACGTTTGGTTGTACAGAAGTTCTGGATTTGCCAGAAAATGACATTCCAGTCGCTGGTTGAAGCTTAAAATCAAAGAAATGGTAATTTATCATCAGACTTTTGGTAATGAAGAGAAAAATGTTACCTAGAATGACAAATTCTTCCTTTGGGCTAAAATAAAAAGAGTATAACATAAAAATAGCAACCTACTCGGCTTAGCCACAACTTGTTGCTTGCCTAACCCATACAGTCAGTGTTTCTTTGTGTGACTTAGAGTCCATCACAGGTCTTAATGGTGGTTAAAGATGAGCAGTTGAGCCTGAGTCCAAGTAAACATCAGTCCCACGGGAAAGAGCGACCTCTGAGGTCTCATATTCACCTTAAAGCTCCCTCTATTCCCTTGTAAGTGTTAAATCCTGTCTTTGTCCATGACAGCATCTCTGTTTGTTTATCTTCTCTCTCTTATTCCTCCTTTTCTCCATCATAGACTGTTTCTCTTTCTGTTATTCCGCCACCTTTGATGCATCCCAACAATCTTTAATCCCTTCAGCTAACACAACACGATGCGTGGGGCTGAGAGAGCGTACATCTGTGCAGTGTTTTCACAAAGGTTTAAATCCAGTTACAACAGTGTTAGACCGATGCTCCCCTTCTGTCCAAAGTTATGAATATTTAAACTGTCACAGAATCAACGCCACACTCTCAGCATCAGTGGATAAGTCAGCCTGCCACCAACAGTGGAGAAGGAGCTGTTTATTCAAATCCAGTCAGAGGCATGTGAAGCCCAGCTGCTATTGGCCAGAGGGCTCAGGCAGAGCTGAAAAGATGCTACCCAGTCTGTTTCTCTTCAAACTTTATGTGTGGAAGAGAAACTCTCAGATGTCATTGACTCAACTCATTTAAAAATGATTTAATTCAAACGCAATCTACACCAATAAAATGATCAAGTTAGTCAAATAAATTATCCCTCAATAGAAGACAAAGCAAACTAGTCATTTATCTTAGAAGGCTGCTGTTTATGTTTTGTACTGATAACTAAGAGCTGGAACATTACAAATGGTAGCTGCATTCAATGGTTAACGGATTTCAAAATATGATCATTATCTGGATCATAGAGCATGCACCAGAGTCACCAGATCTCAACCCTTAGCCCTGTTGGAAATTAAATATATAATCCTGAAGAATTTTTCAAAACCTGTTTTGGAGGGAACATAATGCTGACAGGATTATGTCCACCGTAAACATGTTTCAGTCCAGAGTTTGACACCATATTGTCAAAGTGAGACTGGATTGGACTTTGATAGCACAGACTGGCTTCACGTCTTTTGTCCAGTGATTTATAAATTGTAATCTTATCCATCACTTTGGTTAGGGTTAGTTAAAGATCATGGTTGTGTAATGTTGTTTACATAAGAAGATGCTTTAAATCAAAATCAAATAACGTTATAGATAATAAGTCAGCACTGACTTTTTACATGAACATCAGACTGGGGGTTAAAAAGTCCTGCCTCACCCATCCATCCTCAGAAACTCCATGCTTGCACTTTATTGCTCTTTATACCCTTTTTTTTTTCATTTATTGCACTTAATTGCTCTTTTTACGTCTGTAATAGTTACTATGTCCACCAGGACAGTGGGGGCGGGGGCAGGGCCCTTAGGTGGTTGTGGTTGTGCCATGGATTAACTTCAATCTGCAATAGAGGATGTTGGGGAGTATATGTGTCAGTGCTTGTAAATGCATCCTGCGGTTAATGCATCCAACAATAACAGTCAGGTGAAGTCATTTAAAATATGAAGTACTGATTTAAGAGCAAATCAATTCCAGGGAGTTGTTTTGTTTTTTCGACCTGCTGAGACTTTTTAAAGACTGATTGTCTCACATCTTAGACTGTATTTGTGAGTTATTGCACCAAATGACCTCTTCCTCTCTCAAATGTCCTACAAAACACTGAAGGACTCTGAATAATTCAATTCCAGTAATGAGAAGAATAAACAAATGCATGCATGAATATTCAGAGATTCAGTTCATATCGTTCCAGCTTCAGAAGCCTTTGGAAAACATTGCAACAGCATGCACAATCTGCTATGCATCTGCTTCCTTTTTCTTAAAGTGTGCAGGCCTTTAACTCATCACTTTTCTTTTTTTATGAGCCTGTTCGACCTCATGCTTTTAAGAGCTGAGCGTTTTGAATGCATTGAGCATTTTTGTGGCCGCGCTCTTATCTTTTAGCTCATTGCAACAGATTTATTGTGCAGAAACAGTCGGGTAGGTAACACAGGTTCCTGTTAGGGCTTTACTGTTTAAAGAGACTGATTTGCGTCAGGGATGAAGTAACCTTGTGCACAGCTGTGAAGGATCACAAACACACTCTCTGTGATCTGAATTTCATCCAGCAGCTCTGTACATAACTGTTTTCTTGAGAGCAAGATTACTTAAAAACATGCTTATTTAATCTATTCATCCAATAAAATCTCCCACTGAATTCTTTTTCCCCCACAGATATTCCTGTTTGTATTTGATGTTTAAGAATTTAAGTAGGACCAATCGGTTTAAAGTTGTCTTGTTTTAAGATTCTTGAAAGGCACAAACACCTGTCGGCTGATTTTGAATCTTAACATTGCTCTGTGCAGATCATGTAATAGGTACATTTTAATAATGTCTAGTTGATTGAATGTAAAGTAACAAAATGTCTCATTAAGAGAATAAAACTTATTTCACCTTCAGTGCCATGACTGGCAATGTAAGACGATAGTTAGAGGTTCTGATTTCCCTTATGTTGAAAGACGTTGATCTCTCTACTTTTTTTGCTTGAATAAAATGTTTTATAGCCTTCAAAATCATAATATATCAAAGTTAAGGTGAAATGATGAATTGAGTACATAAAATGTCTACTCAGAGTGTATAAGAAAAGAGCAGGTTGATGTTGAAAACGTCATTCAGCATAGTGCTGCTGACGTTTGTTCAGTGTTATTTTCTCTGTAATACTGAATCTGTTGCATTCATGGTGCTATAAAGCTCAGTTTGTGTTCCAATAGCAACAACCCCCCCTCCAAAAAATCACCAAAGACCTTTTCCATTTTCAATTATTCATCTTTATTTACATGTCAAATCCCAACATAATCAGAGATTCGTCTGAAATTCCCCTCCGAATAAGTAAATAAATATTTTCCTTCTTTTTTTTTCATTAAAAAAAATAAAGAAGTGGTCATTGTTTGCAGAGATCGACAGCCTACTAAGGAGGAAACAAGAAGAAACGCTTTGAATAAGACAGACAGAATAAAGCAGGTGCAACATGTGAGGGGTGGGGGTGGGGGGGTTCCCACAAATTAACAAGACTCTAATATATAATATCTCCAACTATTTAAACTGAAGAAACCATCTATATATTTACACTCTACATTTGGGGTTTGAATGTGGAACTTTTTCAGCTGCAAGCCCACATGAGAACTAATCACTGGCTATCACCTGGGCCGTCAAAGATTTATAAATTGTGAAAGCTGAGTTTGTGTTTGCTTGAAGAGATCTGTGAAGAAACACTTGTTACACTTAATGTTAATAACCATAAAAACACTAAGTTAGTTGCAAAACCCCCAAAAAGTCCCAGAGAGGAGAATCAATGCATCAGTCTTTACTGGCTCCATGGACGCAACAATGATAAATTAAAGTTGTAATAATGTGGGCAGAGAGTTTGTAACAACCCCAAAAGTTCGTCTCCGTTTACTTTGGAGTCACTTGGAGTCGCTGGTCAGCCTCGGCATGGTGACGGTGCTCATGCTTGACACATGCGGAGGCGGGACTTGGCACATGCTGCACGGGCACGGCATCCCTGTGCTGACGCCCCAGTGCTGGAAGCTGCTTCCGAGCGGCCCTGCACTGGCACCAGGAGCTTTGAGGAGTCCGTGATGGGGTCTGACCGAAGTGACGGCAGCGATGCCGGGCGCGGACAGAGAGGCGGTGGAGACAGCCGGCGGGAGGAGCGGGTGGTGCACAGCCGGGTGTGAGGCGTGAGAGGCGACAGGGTGTCCTGGCACGGGTCCCGCGTGCGTCATAGTCCCACAAGCTGATGGGTGGAAGCCACCGTGGTGTCCGCTGCTGCCGTAGATTTCGCTGACCAGTCGCTTCATCTCCTCCAGTGAGTTGCTCAGCATCAGGATGTAGTTTCTAGCCAGCAGCAGGGTGGCGATTTTGGAGAGTTTACGCACAGACGGTCCGTGCGCGTATGGCATGACCTCACGAAGCCCGTCCATGGCCACGTTCAGGTCGTGCATCCTTTTCCTCTCTCGGCTGTTGATCTTGAGGCGGATCGTCTGCAGCTCGCCGTCTGACATGAGTTTACGGTCTTTCTTCAAGGCCAGTCGGAGGGCGAGGGTCTCCTCGTCTGAGCCGGAGAGGCCGGAGAGGCCGCGCAGGCCGGCAAGATCTGAGGAGTCGCTCTGTGTGGAGGACACTGCGCCGGAGAAACCGTGCGCGGACTTTTTCAGAGTTGACAGGAAGATGTCGTCCACCTCGGGGGAGGAAGGTCTACTTGTACTGCGGCTCGTATCTGAGTCCATGGTCCAGGTTCAGCACAGAGCTGTTGTAAGAAAAACTCCAGTTAATTTACTGAACACAAAAATCTAAATATCATGCACGAACACGCAAGAAACTTTGACTGGATAACCTTCTATTGATGCTTAAAATGAATGGCTTGTTCTATTATCTTAATAAATATTAAGCATAAAAAGTTGCATTTAAGCAATAAAAAAAAAATCCTGAGTGCATATTTGCTTACAGTGTGAATAACCAATATTGATTCAAATTCGCTGTATTATCCTTGTGTTGTTATTCCATCATAACATCATTTTTTTACACTGTATTTCTGCCTCTCGGCATAAATAAAGCAGAAGGAAAACATTCACACAATTTGCTAAAATTACACTTAACGTCGACCAGAATATCTTAAAACAAATTAATAGAAATATATACAAAAAAAAAAAACATACCAGAGGAGTTCTAAGCGCGATGGTGAGAAAAGCTAAACGTCAAATCCACTTGTTACTCCAGATCGTGTCTGACAGTCCATTTGGCACGCCTGCGTGAGGCTGCAGGCTTTTATATCAGGCTCGAGCGCACAGAGGCCGGGTCACCAGGACAACGCCGTGTCTGTCCCGACTGCCTCCCTGTGACCAATCAGCTCCACGCAGCGAGGTAGGAGGAGGGAGGGAGAGAGAGGGGGGGGGAGGAGGAGAGGGGGAGACGGAGGGTCCTCCAGCCTGATGTAATTACCAACACACTGCATTAAGTGAAATCGGACACACTCCCTCCTACATATGGCCCCTTCTTGTGGAAATATTGTCCCGCGCATGGATGGATTTTATTATTATAACAATCAAATTTAAACCGCATCTTTCCTTGAATAGAAGTGACAAGTAATTTATTTTAGATCCGGGTAAAAAAAACATGAATTTGTTTGTGTTGAAACCGTGACTAAATTGGGTTTTTTTTTTAAAAAAGAAAATGATATACAAAGTCTACTCTTTACAAGTTTAATATCAATATCTTCTTTCTTTGCCTAATGAATTCAGTGGTTTCTTTCTCCATATGTTGATCGGCATTCATCTCTGCTCCCTCTTTTTATATTCTCCTAATTAAACCTCCATGTTGTGGCCTATCGGACCATAAAATGAGCCTCAAATGAACAGTAATAACGGGTCGAAAACTAATAAGCAGGGCAATATGTTTCCTGCTTGCTGTTTTGGTGTTAATACGGTGTTTTCCGTTTTTACCCGCTGTCGACCAGCAGCTGCTGTTAAAGTGCATCTTTAACGTTAATTAATGAAGTGTGCAAAATTGTTTTTAACGGTTATGATCCGTAACATTTCAATTAGTGTCTCGTGAGCGATAGCAGTGCGGCCTGCTGCTCGCGCGCAGACAGACAGAAGGGCTCGAGCCGGTGATTCGCTCGCGGACCTAACTGAAGCTGACAGCTGCATTGTTCAGAAACACGACGAGTTGGATTTGTGCAGTCAGACGCAATCAGCGATAATTGCCTCAAGTTTGCACAAGATTGGGCCTGAAATATCATCCGTGTAGTCTTATAATCAAATGAGCAAGTTACCTGTAATATCGTTACGGTCATAGATTATCAAACTCAGCTCACTGTAGCCTGAAAGTTAGATTGCTGAAGATTAACTGCCAAGTTTTTTAGGCTATTTAAATTTTTTACTTAGCCTATTTTATAATTGGGCAACCTGCTATGGACTGCAGATATATATAAAAAAAGTATCTTGTAAATCTGGCACATTTAGCCTATATGGATCTTAGAGCTCCTGTATCCTATAATGTATTTGCTTTGTCTCTTTAAATAAATTAATAGGCCTGGACTTAAACATCTGAAATCACAGATTCCCTGTTAATTTAATGAGCTTGAGAAAAAAACACATGATTAAATAACTAAATGAAGCCTAAATGTTTCATTATTTTTTAAGTATTATTTTCCAAAAATGCTTAATTAAAAAAATAACCAAAATATCAAATAGGCCTTGGTGTTGAAAATGTAGCCTTTGTGGGGTATTTATTTCATTATTTATTTGTTAAGAATAAAGACTCATGTCGTTGCCATGGTTATTCGGAAATTGACACAAATTACGCACTGATTTACAACACTGGTCTGACATTTGACCGGAACTATGGGCCTTATGTCCGAATCCAACGGTCCCTGCCGGCCAATCAGAAACTTTTCCGCCACTGTAACTGTCAGTCAGTTGTCGCATCGGTCCGATGTCAAAAAATCAAGGTCGTTCCCGGACGGACACACACACACACACACACACACACACACACACACACACACACACACACACACTGCCCCCTCCCGCCTGTGTCGGTTGCCTGCGTGTGTTTACTCCCGTGAAATAAGATCATGGTAATGAAGGCGGGCAAAGTGGCATTTTAAATCAGGAGGTTTGTATCTGTGCCACAGTTTGCTTCATTACACATTCCCACAGTCTCACTGAGGCACTGGATTCACAACACACAGACGACTGGCATCCCTCTTCTGCTGCGTGTCTTCCTCATCATTCATTTTTAGGGCAATCACTGTTTTTCCAGATAGTAAATTATTTACTTTTATTAGAAACTATGGAAGCTCTAAAACTTGACAGGGTGTTTCAGAATAATGACCTTTTTTTACAACTCCAAATGGATCATGGATAGTTATTGCATTTCCTGCTTTTAATTTTCACCTATAAAATAAAATGACAAGTTTTTCGGACAGACTGCGAGAAAAAAAATTGGACCAAACCTAGACTGTAAAAAAACTTAGTAATTCAATTAACCTAAAAACCCATAGGCCTAATTTTTGCACACAATGGGTTTTTTTTAATCATAGAAAGTAAATCATATAGCCTAACTAAAACTCTAAGTTCGCCTTTTCCACAATTTCCTTAAGTGCTTTTTTTTATTTCAAACAGCAGCAAGTTGATCACTGTTTAATCTGCAAATAAAGATTTACATTTTTCTTAAAAAATGCTAATGCAGCAATAATTCTTAAAGATCACAGAGAGCCATGCAGTTGGATGTCATTCAAAGTGATCATGTGCTCCCAAAAAAAAACCTAAAAGTATTTTCATATAATATTACTTGCTCCCCTCAAGCAAAGAAAAAGACGTTGCACCACTCTGATCTCGACACCATAGACATTATGCTGCTCTGCAGGCCTTCACTCTTCTGCTTTCAGACTTTCAAGCAGATTTGGAACCTGGCTGCAGGGATTTGCTCCTATTCAACCACAAGAGGTCCAACCCTGATGCTGGCTGGTAGAGTCTGGCTCACAGTCAGCTTTCACAAGCCACCTTGAAGGAGTGAGTCAGATGGGTTAAGGTCAGGATACGGCGAACAAAAAGTCAAGTCAACTTCTTCCAGACCAAATTTGGAAAACAACATTTGGCTCTCAACAACACCATTAAAGATAAGGTATATCACCTTCCCTAATTGTCGAGGCAATATAGCTAAAAATCATTTTGGATGCTTTAGTATTCAGGCTTCAGCTGATGAGCTGAAACTTGATCTTCAGCTGATTTAATGGAGGCCCTAAACCCATAATACACAAAGATATGTAGACATCAGTGTCAAAAACATTTCCTACTCTCCTCACAGCCATCACCTCCTTCTTTCTGCCTCTTTCTGTCCATCATTCTGGGTGGCGGTGGGCCTGGTGCCGTAGTGAATACAAATAGTGAGGAGGAGCATATGTGAGCCATACTTAATCCTGCTAATCTGCCTCCAAAATAAAAAAAGAAAGGGAACAAAAAAAAGCAGAAAAGAGAGTAGGGTGGAAAAACACGAGAGAAGGTTTCTCTTTCTGTCGGGGAGCTGACCGGCTGAGGCCAAATGAACTGAAAGACATGAATAATGTCCTGGCTCTCCCCCTCCATCCCATTCTCTGGAAATCTTGGAACGAAATGAAGCAAAATTCTCGCTTTTGTTGAAATGTGTAGTGAGGAACGTGAGATGCCGCCTGCCGTCTCCAGCTCTGCTGTTACTGTGAATATGCTTGTAACATTTTCTTCTAGTTAGACTCACATGAAGATCTCCTGCACAAGCGATTTACTGTACTTTAAAAGACAGAGATAAGTACCAAGGCTGGAAGTAAAGTAACATTCAAAAATAAGTACTTCCTTCCTTTCTCAACAAAGTCTTCATAACAGTATCTTGAGCTGCTCTGAATGTCAAGTGATTCTTTGGAAAATAACACAATTTGTAAAGAAATACCTTTCCAGAGTAAAGTAGTTAAACCAGTGTCATTTGTTCTAAGTCACAATACCACAATTAAAATAGCTCAATAGCTCAGGTTCAAAAACAGGAAACAAAGAAAAGAGGATGGCTGCTCTATGAGGAAGAAAATGTTTAAAAAGACAACTGGTTAAATAGAAAACTTAGACAAACAAACAGTGCACAAACACCACAGTCTGTTATTCAATGACAGAGGGGCACCATAATTTTAACTGTCATTAGAAACATTTCTGTTTATCATATTTCACAATTTAAAAAAAATCAGAAATGATTGGAAAACAAGAGTGGAAAAAAAGTCAAGTCTGAAGAAGTAAGAAGTTCAAATTTTTTATGGTTGTGTGTCTTCACCCTCTTTCTTTTACACTCAAAGTCTTGTATCACATACGGGAATAAGTAACTTGTCATTTTGGAGCGTTTCCCTGAAAGAACCACAAAAGTAAGGTCACGCTCCACCAGGGTCATACAGGGCAGGCGGACGCACTTTATGGTTGTTTGAGGGTTGGAGTTTGTTAATCTGTTTTTAAACTGTAACGTCGTATAAAAACAATGTATTGGACAATTGACATTTCAAACAGACAATGGAGCGACAACTGGGTGTACAACCCCAATTCTGAAAAAGTCAGGAGCCTGCATAAAATGTAAATAAAAACAGAATGTGATGATTGCAAATCCTTGAAACTAAATATTAGACCCAACTGGTGCAGACAGCTTGGTGGATAAACACACCAAGCGCGAGAGAAAACAGTCAAATAAATCTGAAAACGTTCCATTCAAAAGTAAAGTGCTCTTAGAGAAGGACACTTACAGCTTATCTAGGATCTTCACTTTCTTAAAGGTTGGTGTCTGCAAAAGCCTGATTAACCTGTATGCTAATAGCTAATCTACTAACGTATACCTCACAGGTACATGTGGGGTGAAAAGGTCACAATCGAGACAGCCTGCAGACCATCTCATGCATGATGAATCATGTGGACCCAGTCTACAGAGGGAGTCTCCAGTCCTGTGTCTCTCAGGGGGCTGGACAGCGTTAGGTGATGCTGGCCGGGGGCTTTATCTCTACAACAGCTATTAGGTGGTAATTAAGTCCTAACACTGCAGAGCCTCCCATGGTTACTATAACATAACTGCAAATGGGAAGCTTACAAGCTCCTTTAGACGGCATGACAAATTGAATGGAACTCATTGGGCTTCAGCTATTATTCCAGCGGCCCCATCTGGCTGGGAAAAGATAAAGGGGATTTGCTGGAGGTTGTGAGGGGTTGAGCCTCCATGCTCGGTGTGTG